GCCATCCTTTCTTGGAGTTTATGGTGCAGAGCATATCTTCCTTGTTGTATCGTTTCAGAACTGCGTTGTTTCCATAGGCGTTCTCTGCAAATAGGTGACAGCCATTACCCGTAGTCTGCTTTGTTTACATTCGTATTCAGTCACATGACACAGCATCATGATCTTTACATTATGTTACCTTTTCATTGAACCTCGAGTTCTTTTATTTTTCATTATTAGTTCTTCGATTAGGTTGCTTAGTCCTTCGATCTTCCCAACACGATTTGTTTCACATTCTCTTTACATCCTGACAAGACTTGTTCTGAACTTGGGTCACTTCACTGCCTGTTTTTGGTTCTTCCACCTCACCTTTTCTCAGTTTTGAGAATCGTCCCGCTGCATTGGCATGGCAGCAGTTTAATAGAAATTATTGCTGCAGTAGTTGTATTCAAGTTTTATTGCTGCTGATCGGTTGTAAGTTTATTCACTTATTTTGCAGTTTATTAGTCCCGTGGTATTTGAAATAACGCATTAATCGGATATTCCCATCAGCGCTGATCCTCCCGATCAGTTGAAAAAGTCCAGAAAGCTCCATGCCTTCGATTTCAAGGCGCCGCAATAGTCAGCCAGTCAGTCAGTTTCGATGACCGTTTATCCTTTCAAGTCTTGCGTCAGATTTATAATATATTCGAGCCATCTGAAGTTCGATTTGCTTCTTACCCTTTTTGTCAGATATCTTTCTCCGATAACGCGTTGAGAAATTGCAGTATCTACTCTTTTCACCATATTTTTGAGCGGCTTCCAGCAGTACTATTCTTATGTTCCCTTTCTAAAACTTATGTATTTGCGTAGTTTCACTTGTATTTTTTTAACGTTTTTGCGTTTAGGAAGGGGATCGCGGTTTTATTATATCGGTGGCGAAGTTTTCGCGGAATGCCTGAGTGACTCAGCGATTTTTGTCCAGAGTCCGAACTGCAACCAGCGTTATGGATGGCATCCGGCCACTGTTTGTAAAATTCCGCCAGGTGCGTGATCATTCCATATCGCGTTGAACCTTCACTTTTTGCTTCAGTTCATCATCTCGGAATCGAACACAAAAGTTGCTTAATTTCTTGAGATTTTGTAGCAGCCTGAAATTTAGCATTTTCTCTTGAAGCGGCGAAACGAACCTTGACAGTTTAACTTGTTTTCCGTCCAGGCAGTTTTTTTCCGCTGTGGAATAGCCATTTATTGGTAGCTTATGAAGTTCGAAGTTCTATAACCTAGAAACCGAGTAATTTCGACTTTGGGATTTTGCACAATATACGCACGTCGTAACCTCTTCATCATAGTGGCTGGATGGATGCCTATCAGATGAAAAGACTGATGTATTATGAGGTTCCAGCTCTCTGATTTTTTACCGTGGCAGCCATGTAGTGTCCTGGCCACTAATTGGTTTCTTTGTGATAGACTGCAATGTAAATTCGTTCGTCTGCTAAATTTGGTGTCTGTTGTGCTAAATTTAAAATTCTCTGGATTTGAGACGCTTGATCTTAGTTCTTTGTAGCCATTTCTTGCATTAGTAAGTCAGTCATTTTCGATGTCAATTCAGCCTTTTGAGTTGCAGAAGCAGATTCGTCAGTGAGTGTCTCCGACGTTCCTGATCCTTGCCAGCTTATTAGCTTTGGCAGAAGATACCTGAGCTTTGAAGTAGCCGTTTTAGGCCCTTGCCTCAGGCCATACGTGACTTTTCCCGGCGTTTTCGATCCGTCGCTGCATCAGGTGGCACCTATTTTGCCATTCATTTCGACAAGTATTCGCAAGACACCCATACTGTTGTCGATGTTTTTTCAGTGTGGAGAAGTGGCGGTTGTATATCAAAGATATTTGAACTCTGGAACTCCGGATCATGTTGCGACGCTTGGACGCAGCGACTCGTCTGACAAAGCCCATTTTAGCCGCTTATTCCAGGTCTAGAATTTTTTTGGGTCATGGTCAACTACATATGACCATAGGCCACATTTGGGATAAAACTATACTTGAAAGTTAGAGCTTAGTCTTCAGACTCAGCTTTGCTTTAGTGCTTTAGTCACAACGACTCTTTGGACATTCGTTGGCAATCAATCACCGTTGGCCTTTCGAATTAACCGTTTCACCGCTTCTTTTTGTTTTCGCTTACCGGTAAGTAGGACTTCGAGGTACGCGAACTTCACCTGTTCGGCAAAACGTAGCTTTCAGGTGAAAAAATGCACGAAGCTCCTCGTTTCAGGCACGACGTTAGCATGTTACACGGAGTGCAGTGTTAAGCTTTCTACGTCAACGAAACACAGAGGATGAGCGAACTCTCACTGTTTTTCAACAGTCTGGCATTAGGCGAAGATCTCGCCAGAGGTGCTTCGGCATGGCCTAATCCCACACTGGCCTTCTTGTATCTTAGAATCAATAGTTGCGCAGCACTTTTCTAGCACCATAGCGTAGACTTTCCCCAGAAGGCTCAGTAAGGTAATACCCTATAGTATCCTCTCTTGAACAGCGGTACTACCACGACTAGTTTCTGTCCACCGTGTATTCCCCGTTACCATTTGTGTTTTGCGACACGTGTTCTGTGACAGTATACCTTGTTCGCTGAACGCATTTAGCATCTATCGATGGATTTCATCGATCCCAGCAGCCTTATCACTTTTCAAGCTTTTTATAGCTTTCATGACTTCGTTCCCTGAATGATTAATATCGGTTGCCGGCGATTCTTCAGGTTTGTCTTAAAGATTGTGAAGTTAAGAACGGTTAAGAAGCTCCTCATTTTACTGTCTCCCTCGCCATAGTGTATCATCTTCCTTGATAAGAAAACTCCAAAAATGACTCTTATACTGCCTTTCTTTCCATCCGAGAGGCGATGGGTGGTCCGCCGGGTACTGCTGTCTGGAAATTCAACTCTAGTACTTCACATATCAAAGGAATCAGCTTTTGTTTCGGCTGCTGCTTCTGCTTCCACCTGGCATTCTGGTTGAAAGCTTTTAAGCATCCTCTTGAATGTTGCCTTGTCGCTAACAGCTAACCAAAGCTCGCTTGTCTGTCAGGAAGTTTGCTTTTTTCCTAACCGGCAACCCAACCCGTTTTAACAGGTTCGGCGACAGACACGAATTATACGTTGTTAGAGTTTCCACTCGTTTTTCATTTTCACGTCGGCCGTCATTACTTGAATCTTGAAGCCGTCGTTTGACGTTGTTTACAAATTTCGCTTGTGTCCGCGGAAGATAATGTTTTCCATTTAATTCTCTGGTTGGTTCTGCCACCAGGTCGTCCCCTGGTACTCCATCTTTCATAGAGTAGCGTGCCTACGACAAAGTGGCGATCAATGACAGTTTTCAGTCTCTCTTAACGCGAACATCCATGACAGAGCGTTGTGGGTCAGAAGACACGGCTATCAAATCGATCATAGACTTCTGTGTACAGGCTTCTCTGCACCAGATATACTGATGCACCCTTCGATGCTAGATGTTCATGATAGACAGTCTGTTGTTTGCACAAAGCAGCAGCAACTTCATCCCGTTATTTTTGAGGTCACTAGGGCCGTTTTTTCCAATTACGCCGTTCCACTTTTTGGCGTCTACTCCGACATGTGTGTTAAAATCGCTCTTTAGAATGAGGGACTCCGTAAGCGGCACTTCATACAGAGCACATATATCAAATCTGTATCCAATCCAATTCGTACAGAGCTCATATATCCCTTCTAATATCCAGGTAGAGCTTATACTGCCCATCCAAATTTGACCCAAGGAACTGTGTATCGTTTTCTGCAACTTTCGCTGATTAGCTTCTGTTCAGTTACTCTGTCAGCCAGGTTTGACCGTACCAGAACACCACAACCGGCTTGAGTGCATGTCTCGGATGTACACCTGAGTAAAACAGCTCTCACCCTCAAAGATTCGGAGCTCCATAGCCCCGACACTTTGTTGATGAGAGTGCAGCTATGACCAGTCGGTACCTTGCGGTCTCATCAGTTAGCTGCTGCTCTTTCGCGCTGATTGAGAAGATGCTCCAATATCCGTGGGCTCCCACTCTCAGCATCATTTCACGCCGTGCCGCAATGGCTCCGTGTTGTCTGCTTCATCTGTTCAGAAT